TGTGGAATCTTCAGGGTTTTCCACAAATAAAATCACAATATCTGTAAACATTTTAACTTCTTTCCAATTTCAGTGCCTTTTTTTCTTGCCTAATATCTCTAACTCAGACATTCAGTACTGTGTTTAATAGACGTGGCAAAAGCCGGCATCCTTACCTTGTTCCTGCTATTAGAGGGAAAGTTTTCAGTCTTCTACCATGGAGTATGATGTTTGCTGTGAACTTTTCATATACGGTCTTTATTATGTTGAGATAATGCTTTTTATTCCTGGTTTGATGAGTGTTTTTATTATGCAAAGTTATTCACTTCTGTCACTTGCTCTTACTGATTTGAGATGACCATGTTTTTTCTTCATTCTTTTGTGGTATATTACATTGGTTGATTTTGTATATCGAACTGTCTTTGCATTGTAAGAATAATTCCCCCTTGGTCATGGTGTCTGAGTCTTTTATTTTGCTATTGAATTCTGTTAGTATTTTGTTGAGGATGTTTGCATCAGTATTCATCAGGGATATTGGTACTTACGTTTTCTTTTCCTTTAGTATCTCTTTCTGGCTGTGGAATCAGGATAATGCTAGCCTTCTAGAATGAATTTGGGATTGACCCCTATGTGTTAATTCTTTAAATATTTAGTTGAATTTTCCAACAGAGCCATCTGGTTCTAAGGTTTTCTTTGTTCATTCTTCTTTGTAGTTACTTTTGTAGTTTAGGTTTCTGTTCATGATTCTGTCTTAGTAGTTTGCGGGTTTCTAGGCATTTGTCCATTTCATCTAGGTTATTTTTTTTACATCTAATCTTTCATAATATTCTTTTAAAAACATATTTCTACAAAATCAGATGTAATGCCCCCTCTTTCTCTTCTGATTTGGGTAATGTATTAGTGAAGATATGTGGTCATGGTCCTGGACTTTACCTGGTTGAAAAGTCTATCATAACTGATTTGATCTCACTAGTTACAAGTCGACCAGATTTTCTGTTTTTCTCACTTAGTTTTTGTGAGTGTTTTCCTAGGAATTTGCCATTTCATTTAGCTTATCCAGTTTTCTTGCCTACAGATATTCATAGCATTTTCTTAGAATCCTTTTTATTTATATAGGGCTAGTAGGAATGTCCCACTTTCATTTCTGATTCCAGTTAAGTCGTCGTCTTAATCAGGCTAAACCTTTCTCAGTTTTGATCTTTTTTTGAAGAACCAACTCTTTGATTTTTCTCTTTAATGTTTCCTTCTTTTAGCTGTGAGTTTAGTTTGTTCGTTTTCAAGTTGTAAAGTTAGGTTGTGGAGACGAGGTTTTCTTTTTTAATGTATGCATTTGTAGTTATGATTTTCCCTCCTAGCACTGCTTTACCTGCAGATCTCCTCAGTTTCGATATGTTCTGTCTTTGTTTTCATTTGTCTCTAGGTATTTCTAATTTCCCTTCTGATTTCTTCTTAGATCCTTTTTATGTTAATTTCTACTTGTGGGTTTTCCGCTATTTGTGATTAGAAAAGATAATTTGTATCTTGCTTAGAGTCGTTTTAGGGCCTACCTATGCCTATGACTTAACATAGACCCCATTGGTGTATAATTATAACGTTCTAGTCCTCTGTTTCCTTATTGATGATCTTTCCAGTTGTTTTCTCCATTATTAAAAGTGCATATTGAGGTTTCTTAATGTTATTGCAGAGCCGTTTCTTTCGATTCTCAGTGTTTGCCTCATATTTAAGAGCTCTGCTGTTTGGTGCATATGTGTTTGTTAGGTCTTCTTAGTGTGTTAACATTTTATCATGTTACAGTGTTCTTTGTGGCTTGTAATCATCTTTTACTTAAAAGTCTGTTTTTTTTCTGTTATTAGTATAGCCATCCCTGCTCTCTCGTGGTTACTCTTTGCCTGGAATATCTTGTTCCATCCTCTGACTTTTTACCTGTGCACATCGTTAGATTTCAGGCAAGTCTCTTAGAGGCAGCATATAGTTGGGTCATGTTTTCTGAAACCATTGTGTCAGGGGATTTTGATCCATTAATATTTACAGTAGGTATGACAGTTTCTTCCTGTCTTACAACTTTGTTTGTTGTTCATTTCCTTCCCTACTCTTTTCCTTTGTGTTTAGTTATTTGTAGTTGATGCATTTTCATTCTTTTTCCTGGGTGTGGGTTTGTATGTTCTTTAAAAACGTTTATGTAAATACCATGGTAACCACAAAAAAGTACCTAAGGTATTTAGGTATTTTTGTACCTAAATACAATCTATTTTAAACTGCTAAGAGCTTAATTTTAACCACATACAAAAACACAACTTCTCCCTTCCCATAATATTATTACTGTTGAAAAGTACATCCCTGTGTATTGTATTCATAGGATTTAAAAGACAGTAACAGAATTAAAAGTGAAGTTAGGAACTGAAATTATACAGGTTTTATCTTTTAAATGTTCTTTTTTGTGTGACGGAGAGATTCCCAGTAGGGAAGAGGCAGAGGGAAAGGAGAGAGAGCCCCACGATTTTGAGGTCATGACCGGAGATCAAGAGTCAGACGCTTAACCCACTGAGCCACCCAGGTGCCCCTAAAATTATACAGGTTTTTAAATGTGTCTATATATATATATGTGAGGGTCGGTTTCTCCCACATTGTTCAAAGATAATTTTACTGGAAATATTTTCACTTGTCTGATTGTTTCCCTTCATTAATTCACATATATCATTCTACTGCCTTCTGACCTGCAAGGTTTTCATTGAGAAATCCGCTCGTGAGGTACTGAGGACCCCCGTGTGACAGATTTCCCTCTTCTTGCCCCTTTCAAGGGAACTTTGACTTTGCAGAGTTTGGTTTTAATGTATTTTGATGTAGGCCTTTTGGGGTTTATCCTGTGGAAGTTTCTGGACACAGTCACTTCAAATAAGTTCTCTAACCCCTTTCTGTCTCCTCTGGGACTCTTCCAGTACATCCCCCCTTGTCAGCTTGGGGTCTCTTCAGCCTTATTCACTTTTATTTTTGCTTTTTCAACTTGATGATTCCATATGAACTGGCTTCCAAGTTCACGGATTCTTCTGCAGCTGAACTCTCAGTGACCTTTTCGGTTTTGTTACTGCCTTTTTCAGGTCCTTTCCCTGGTTTTCTTTAGTTACCTTGCCAAGTTCGTAGTCCTTGGTGTATGGAGCAGATGTAATTTACTTGACAAAGACTTTAAAGTAAAAACTTCCGAGTCCTGTCTCTGCAGGTTTTGTGTGTCACTTACTCTCCTTTGCAGGAGTTGAGTGTCCTTCTTGGCCTTGTGATCTGTTGAAAATTAAGCCTTAGGGTTGGGGGGGAGGGACAGCCACCCCTCTCTCTGTGGACTGGCTGGGTGCAGAGGAGGGCCTTCATTAGCTTCACAGTTTTCTGGGGTGCATCTTCCCTGGACCCAGCTCTGTTCATCATTCCTTCCCCCGCTGCTTGTGTGGCTGCTTTTGAACATGTTGCTTTTTCCCCAACGAGTCCCACCTCTGCTTTTTTCCCAGGACCTTGGGTTTTTATTATATTCCTCTGCCTGATCATTTCTTGCCCCCAGGTCTGCAGACTCGATCACAGAACCATGCACTGTTCCCACCCGTGCCCAGGCGGCAGCCCCCCAATCAGTCCGAACGTTGCCAGCATGTTCTGTTCTTTGCTTCCCGAGAGAGGAACCAGGAGCTGGGCGGCTCCTGTGCGGATGAGTGTGCGGGGCAAGGGAGAGCACTGGGAGATTCGCGGTTTTGAGTGCAGGTTTCCTCTGCCAAACGTTACCCTGGTTGCTGCAGCTCCTTAACTGGTTTTTCAGGTTCTCACAAGGTCATTTTTGTCTGTGTGGTTTACCCGTTGTTCCTGTGTGGGAGCGGGGCCTGACCTCCCTGTTCTGCCCTGCTGCCTGCATGTCTCGCCCTGTTAGCTCTGAGTGTCTTTGGGACCATTCTGCAGCCTCGGGCACTGCTGTCCCCTGTCACAGACACTTCATTTCTGCCATTTTATTTCATTTCCTAAAACGTAGGCCAGATTTTTCCTGGGCTTTTTGTATGCTTTTGTTTGTTGTTGTTACAGATTGGGCATTTGAGAGAACACGTTTTGAGACCAGCCCTTGTCCAGGGAAGATCTTCCCTAATGTGCAGGGTGTACGCTGACCCTGGGGTCGCCCCGGGATGAGGCCTGAAGGTCTCCTCAGGCGCATTCTGAGCATGTATCTCGCCTGAACCTCTGTGCATGGGTTTCAATTCCTTCACACACAGAGACTCCAAGAGATAGTCTCCCTAGCGGTTTGAGGACAGAGCTGTTGTCGCGTCTTCCTTCACACAGCATCTCCTGCTGCTTTCCATTGTGTCTTCCCTGCCCTGGAGACCAGACGGGGACAGAGACCTGTGCCTGCAGCGGCCCCCAGAGGGGTTAGACCGTCACAAATCAAGTCTGCTCTGCCGTGTCCCCGTGTGAGATAGGGAAGTGGGCTCTTGGAGCCTTCAGGCAGCACTTGACCATCAGTAGAACTGCCAGTACATTTAGAAATAGCAGCGTATGGAGGATGCCCAAATGGCCCCAAGGAAAGACGCATGCTCAGAAAAGGGGCACCTAGATGGCTCAGGCGGCTGAGTCTGATTTCAGCTCAGGTCATGATCTCATGGTTTGGGTTCGAGCCCCACGTCGGGCACTGTGCCAACGGCTCAGAGCCTGCTTCTGATTCTGTGTCTCCCTCTCTCTCTGACCCTCCCCCACTTCTACACACACACACTCTCAAAAATAAGAAAACTTAAAAAATAAATAATAAATACAAGACCTGAGAAGACCTTAAGCCCTCACTCTGGGCTGATCCCAAACTTCCTCTCATTTTAAATGTGTGGGTTTTTGCCACTGGATATTCTTTTCTTTGCTGTGAATCTTTGTTTTTCAGATATTTAAGCTAGTCTCTACTTTTTTTAATAAGGCATTTCCTTTGGGGAACAAGGGCTCGGAGCTTCTTAGTTCACCACCTTGCTGATGTCACTCTCTCTGTCTCTGATTCTCTATTCTCTTTATCCCTTCAGGAGGCAGGAAGCAAAACGAGGAGACTCTTCACCGAGCACAAGTAAGGTGCCTTTCATTGGGAGAGCTTTCGTGCTGGCAGATCAAGAGACATGTTGTGAGCCAGTTAACCAAAGAGCAAGACTCCAAGATAAATATTCCAGGAAAGAGTTCTCAGTTCCCTGCACTGTGTGAGTCCCCCTGTCAGGTGGGAGCAGGAATATGTATTCAGGCTTCCGTGGAAGACGGCTGTATAATGAACCTTATAGAGGATTCTTCCAATATTCTTGAAGATCAAGAATTTCTGGCCCAGAGAGCTCAGAATCCTTGGAGCAAACTCTATCTCAGCGAAACGCAGACTCAAGTGAAAAACCAGCTGTGTATATTTGCTCCGTATGTGAACATCTTCAGTTGTGTCTCCCACCACCGTGAGGACGAAAACGCTCACCACGACGACTGTGGTAAAGACATCTTAAAGGAGGCCCCGCGGGTCCAGCAGACCTACCACTGTGCCCAGTGTGAGAAAGCATTCAGTGACGGCCCCAGTCTTGAGCTGCATCAGCAGGTACACTCGGGAAGGAAGTCCTCCGCGTACGGCACACGGGAGAAGGACGCCAGCTACAGCTCAGCTCTGCCCGGGCCACAAAGCGTTTACACAGGGAAAAAACGCTACTGGTGTCGCGAGTGTGGGAAGGGCTTCAGCCAGAGCTCAAACCTGCAGACGCATCAGAGAGTCCACACGGGGGAGAAGCCCTACTCGTGCCTCGAGTGTGGGAAGAGCTTTAACCAGACCTCTCATCTTTATGCCCATTTGCCGATCCACACAGGAGAGAAGCCCTACAGATGTGAAAGCTGTGGCAAGGGCTTCAGCCGGAGCACAGATCTGAACATTCACTGCCGCGTGCACACAGGAGAGAAACCTTACAAATGTGAGGTGTGCGGGAAGGGCTTCACCCAGAGATCCCATCTGCAGGCCCACGAGAGAATCCACACTGGGGAGAAACCATATAAGTGTGGAGACTGTGGTAAACGCTTTAGCTGTAGCTCAAATCTGCATACCCACCAGAGAGTGCACACGGAAGAGAAGCCATATAAGTGTGACGAGTGTGGGAAGTGCTTCAGCTTGAGCTTTAACCTTCACAGCCATCAACGAGTCCACACGGGAGAGAAACCGTATAAATGCGAAGAGTGTGGGAAGGGTTTTAGTTCAGCCTCAAGTTTCCAGAGCCACCAAAGGGTTCACACGGGGGAGAAACCATTTCGCTGCAATGTGTGTGGTAAAGGCTTCAGTCAGAGTTCCTATTTTCAAGCCCATCAGAGGGTCCACACTGGAGAAAAACCATACAAATGTGAGGTGTGTGGGAAACGCTTCAATTGGAGCCTGAATCTTCACAATCATCAGCGGGTCCACACCGGAGAGAAACCTTATAAATGTGAAGAGTGTGGAAAGGGCTTCAGTCAGGCCTCAAATCTTCAAGCTCATCAGAGTGTCCACACTGGGGAGAAACCATTCAAGTGTGATGCATGTCAGAAGCGATTCAGTCAGGCCTCCCATCTTCAAGCCCATCAGAGAGTCCACACGGGCGAGAAACCATATAAATGTGACACATGTGGCAAGGCCTTCAGCCAGAGATCTAATCTGCAAGTCCATCAGATAATTCACACTGGAGAGAAACCATTTAAATGTGAGGAGTGTGGGAAAGAATTCAGTTGGAGTGCTGGGCTCAGTGCTCATCAGAGGGTCCACACCGGAGAGAAACCCTACACGTGTCAGCAGTGCGGTAAGGGCTTCAGTCAGGCCTCACATTTTCACACACACCAGAGGGTCCACACTGGAGAACGGCCATATATATGTGAAGTCTGTTGTAAAGGCTTCAGCCAGAGATCACATCTTGTGTACCATCAGAGAGTCCACACTGCAGGAAATCTGTAGAAATGGGAGGTGGGGTGTGGCATTCAGTGAGAGCTCATGTCTTCATCTCCATTGGAAAATCGATGCTAGTCATTGCAGAGAGTTCCTTCAGAACTCAGGAGCTCAAGGAAACTTCACATGCAAGAAGCTCTGTCAGGTGCTCTCTTTAAGGATGCTTGGGTGCTAAATTCTTTGCGAATCAGATTTCATAGATGAGAGAAAACCTCTTCTATAAATACGGTCACTGTTGGTGCCAGCATTCTGAATGTTCAATTTCTAAGATGCAACACAAAAGAATTTCAGAATTCATCCACGTCTACCCAGGAAAAAGGCCTTATAAATGAAGATTAGGGGCAGGACTTTAACAAAAGTATCGGGACAGACCAGTAAAATTAATGTCAAGGCAGTGTAACCTCCATATAGGAAGGGATATTTTACACTTTATCTCTACTGTGTAGAAGTGCACTTGGCTCAGATGTCCAGCAATTACTGGACAAAGTGGAGAAAAATCTATAATTAGGACAGATACAGTAAAACCTTGCTTTTACGTGTGCCATACGCGGGTATAATTCATTCCGGAAACAAGCTTAATCCAAAGCACTTGTAGATCAAAGCCAATTTCCCCATAAGAAATAACAGAAACTCAGATGATTTGTTCTGCAACCCAAAAAATATTCGTATAAAAATGATTGCAACACTAATAGAATACAGAATATTAAAAAAAAATTAACCTGCACTTACCTCTGAGAACCTTCATGGCTGGTGTGAGGGAGACGAGAGAAGGGTTATTGTGTAGGACGACTTTCACTAGCACTGATGGAATCACTGCTGTCTGTTGGTTCAGTGGAATCTCCTGCATGGGGGCCCTTGTATAAACTCGCACAGATGTTGACTACAGTACAATATTAATAAGCTCTTGTCATATACTGTATTTCTTGTAACTGGCAGTAAGGCAGCAATGGGTCTCTATCTGCAGGCAGCCTGACCTAGAATGAAGTAAAGCCTTCCTAAGCTTACTCTTGTATGGAAAAGCAAAAGACTGTCCATAGGTGCTTTGAAGCGACAAAAATACACTAGTGACAGTTGTGGTCACCCTCCAGTGTTGAAAAATCACTGATTTCTGCCAAACACTGCAACCTGAGACCAAGCATCTGAGCATGGGCTCCCGCAGCGAGAGAGAGAGAGAGAGAGAGAGAGAGAGAGAGAGAACCATTGGCTCGTGATCATGTGACATTGGGCATCAGGTATGCCTCGTACTGGAAGACATCACTCTTCTATCAAGTTAAAATGTATTAGAAATGTTTGCCCATCTTCTGGAACACTCACCGAACAAGTTACTTGCAATCCAAGGTTTTACTGTATTTGAAAATTCTATTTCCCTACCCAGAATTCATAATAATATACTAAAAAGGAATCCTCAAGTAGCCTTAATGAGATTAATTTCAGGAAATACTCAAGTGCAGAAAATCATGTAACACTCGCATCCACAGTAACGCAAATTTGGATGAAATGTGTGAATGGCCCCCATCGCCGATCTGGCCCTGGTTCTTTGTAGTGTATCAGCCCTGTTGTACAGTGTAATATTTATTATCATTAATTTGTATTTTATAGACCAAAACATACAATTTTTAACCAATCTAATACCATGATACAATTTATATGCTTGGGAATTTTGGACCCTAATCCATCAAGGTAGATTTCACTGTAACTCTTTAAAAGTGTTAAGAGTAGTTACTAAGGACAAAAAGTTTTTTAGTAAACTTGAATTGTTAATAATTGGTTTCTTGTCATTATTTCCACATAGGCTTAAGTCAGATTGCCTTCTCTATGCCAGAGTCCTTCATCCAGACCTCTGGAGGCAGGGGCTTTGGCAAATTTCCAGTATATTAATTTTGTCACATCCAACCCTCATTTCTCCCCCTACCAGAGGGAGTATGGAGCAAGAAACCTGTTGACTTTCGTTGAAATTTCATTAAATTTAACAATCTAGATGAATTACCATTTACATAGCATTCTGCATTCAATGCCTCTTGTTAGGAGTGAACAGCACTAGCTGGTTAATATTTATCAAAATACCCTTTGACCTGGTAATCGTAGCACACGAGGCTTTGCTGGAGAGAGTATAGCAAAAGTGGGAGTGGACACAGGATGTGTCTACTTAGTTTTATAAAAAAAAATTATTAGCAAAAAATCAGAATAAATATGTTCTAATGATATACAGCCCCCCAAAAACAAGACCTTGATCTCTAATGGCAGGAAGAGAACATCATTCTAACCTAGAGAAAACTAGGTTAGAGCCGTTCCCAGTATGTGTGGCCCGACAGAAATCTGTATACCTGCGGGTGTGCTTATATAGGGCCTCATCTCACCACGTGGCATGGGAACCTGTTTACAGAGACACATGAAAGCATGCTCGTCATTTCCTTATTGGTGATAGCACAGTTTGCATTCATCAGGCAGACTGACAAAACAGTTTATGGTTCATCCATTCAGGGCGATACTAGGCAAAATCCCATGAAAACAAATTCACAGTTATGAACACTGGTAAATACCCAGGATATGCAGAGAAAAGTGGCCAGTTTTGTAGAGATAGACAGATGTCAATCTATGATGTCCCCTTTAAAAGTAACCAGATCATATTCATTATACTAGGATACATGGGTAGAATATTGCAATGTATACTTATGAATGTAATTACCTTTAAAAGGGGGGTATTACAGTAAATTTTTTAATAGTTTTTTTTTTTTTTAATTTTTGAGACCGAGCATGAGTCGGGGAGGGGCAGAGAGAGAGGGAGACACAATCTGAAGACAGGCTCCAGGCTCCAAGCTAGCTGTCAGCACAGAACCCAACATGGGGCTTGAACCCACGAACTGCGAGATCATGACCTGAGCTGAAGTTGGACACTCAACCGACTGAGCCACCCAGGCGCCCCTATTACAGTAAATTTGTAACTTGTTTTGAGAATGTTTTCAGGCCTTTATTATAAATGTATTCTAAACATTGAGAAAAGATGCAAGAACAGAATTCCCATATATCCTCAGGTTACCTACGGTCATTACAGTCCAACCAGATCACTAAACTGTATAATACCGGAGTTGAGGACCCACACAGCTTGGTTCCTCAGGCAGGTCTTTCCTTCTCTGTGGTCTTAGGGCCACTTAATATGGACCGGACACTACGTGGAGGCTCAGCGTACCCTAAGAAAGGCCAGAAGTACTATGGCCTCATCTAATCTACCCTCGGAAGTTAACAGTGTTAATTCGAGAAGGCAGTCCCAAAAACCTATCCAGGATCAAAGAGAGAGCATGGACTCCACCTTTTGATAAGGGGAGTGTCAAGGGATTTCCAAACATATCTTAAGATTGTCATATTTTCGAATCTACAGCTTATTCAAATTCCAGTTGTCCCAAAATATGTTTACAACAATTTTTTCTTCTCTATTCCAGGATCTAGAATTTTTTTAATGTTTTATTTCTGAGAGAGAAAGAGAGAGACAGTGTGAGCAGGGGAGGGTCAGAGAGAGAGAGGGAGACACAGAATCTGAAACAGTCTCCAGGCTCTGAGCTGTCAGCACAGAGCCCAATGCGGGGCTCGAACCCACAAATCGCGAGATCATGACCTGAGCCGACGTTGGACGCTTAACCGACTGAGCCACCCGGGTGCCCCATCTATTCCAGGATCTCATCTTAAGATGGGTCATACCCTCTATTAAGTTGTCATGTTTCTTTACTCTTTAAATCTTGATCAGCTTCCCATCATTTCTCTTTCATGAAATCAGTATCTTTGAAAAGTACAGGCTGTTTTATAGACTATCCCTAAATTTTGGCTTGATTTCTCATGATTAGATTCAAATGAATGTGACATGCGTGTTCCATGAATGACACCTACTTCTCAGTGCATTAAGCCAGGAAACCTTTGTTTTATCAGTGATACTAGTTTGATCACTTGAATCAACTGACGACTTAAAGGTTTCTCTGCTTTCTATTCTGTGTGTCCCTCTCTCTCTGTCCATCCCCCACTTGCACTGTTTCTTTCTTTCTCTCTCTGAAAAATAAACATTAAAAAAAATTTAGTTACTAGATATGTCAGTAAACAAAAACAGAAAAACCAGACCCATTCTCAAGAGAAAACAGATCTATGGAGATCAACACTGCAGTGATCCAGATGTGGGAATTAGACAATGATTTTTAAAAGCAGTTATATTTAAACGTAAAGTGCAAAGGAAACTATGCTCACCATGAAGGAAAAAATAAGAAACCTTAGCTGAGAAATAGGAACTATGAACAAATAACCAAATAAAAGGTCTCGGGGGACGACAGTGGAGTAGGAGGACCCTAAACTCCTCATGCCCCACAGACACATCTAGATAACACATCACTGTAAAGACCCCTGGAAATGACCCAAAGACTGGTAGAACCAACTCTCCAGTGCTCCGTGTACAGAAGAGGCCACATCAAAGAGGGTAGGAAAGGCTGAGACACGGAAGTTAAATTGATCTATGAAACAGTCTGCAGGAGGGAGGGATGCCATGGATGCAGAGAGGGAGAGAACCAGACCCCATGGTAGGTACCCCAGGCATGGAGGACCCACACAGGAAAGACAAATCCCCATGACATTTGAAATGAGAATGAGAGGGGCCAGATTTCATTAGTTTTTACAATCAGTGGGGCTTAACAACTGGAACTTTCAAAGTCAGCAGGTGGCTCTCCAAGAGCTTAGAGGACAATAGGAGACTGAGTCCTCACCCTTTAAGAGACAGCACAACAGACAGCCCTACAGAGATACAGCAGTATGAAAAATGCCTAGGGCATATGAAAGGGAGTTTTGTTTATTAATCTCAGAGCCGGTGCTAGAGGGGCAGGGATCATTGGGAGACTTCTCTGGGAACAAAGGAGCTGGTGGGTGCCATTTCCCAACCCCACCCCCCAGCCTAGATGTATACACAAGAACTAACAGAGCACCACCAAAACTCGTTACCTAACTTGCTAACTAACACCATACATCCTGTTGGGGCGCCTGGGTGGCTTAGTCGGTTAAGCGTCCGACTTTCACTTAGGTCATGATCTCGCGGTTCGTGGGTTCGAGCCCCGCGTCAGGCTCTGTGCTGCCAGCTCAGAGCCTGGAGCCTGTTTCAGTCTGTGACTCCCTCTCTCTCTGACCCTCCCCTGCCCACACTCTCTCTCTCTCTCCTAGAAATAAATAAAAAAAACAACATTAAAAAAAAAAAAAAAAACCCACCATACATCCTGCCACGTATGGTGTGAACCTACTCCGGCCTAAGCAGGAATTTTGGGTGGCTGCCAAGTCCCATCTTAGCTGACTGGTGCTGACCTTGCTGGTATCACTCATCCTGCCCCCTCATCTCCTGAAGATCTGCCCCCTCCAATACACCATTGGCCAGATCCTATCCAAAGAAGCATCCCCAAAAAAGACCAGCACCTCCCCAAAGTGACCCCTGCTCATGGAAATGGGGAACACAACCATACACAACAGTTGGTCTGTAGCCCCAGCAGAAGCAGACATTGGACCTGACTGCAGGCTCCACCCACCAATGAAAGCTTCTCAGGGGACAACACAGAGAGTGCTCTGCAGTTTAGTGCTACCGCATCTATGGCAATGGTAACAACTCAGTAAGCTAGGAATAGTGGGGAACTTTTTGAACTTGACAAAGAACATCTACAAGAAAACCTACCACAACATAATAAGTTAATGGCGGTAAACTAGAGGTTTTCCCCTGAAGATCAGAGATAAGGCAAACATGTTCACCTCACCATTCCCATTGAATATTGTGCTGGAAATCCTACCTAACAAATAAGAAAAGGAAATAAGAAGGATGCAGCTTGAGGAGGGCGAAATTAAACAAGTCTTTGTTCACAAATGGCATGATAGTTTATGTCGAAAATCCCAAATAACAGACAGAAACAAAAACACCTACTTCTGGAAGTAACAATTGGTTGTAGCAAGACACAGGATACAACATACCAAAGTCAGTTTCTTCCCTGTGGAACAGCATGGGAAGTTGTAATTTGAATTAAAAACAAAATACCATTTATGTTAGCTCCAAAAATGAGACATAGTTAGGTATAGATCTAATAAAATATGTATAAGAATCACATGAGGAAAATTATAAAGCTCTGATTTAAAAATTAACGTCTAAACAAATGGAGAGATATTCCATGTTCTTGGACAGGAGGACTTATACTGTCAAGATGTCAGTTCTCCCAATTTGACCTACAGATTCAATACGATGCCAATAAAATTCCAGCATGTTATTTTATAAATATCAACTAACAGATTAAAGTTTATGTAAGAGGCAAGAGACTCAGAACAGCCAACAAAGGAAGAAGAATAAAGTCACAGGACAGGACTGACACTACCTGACTGAAAGACACTACAAACACACAGGACACAAAATGGTGTGGCACAGGAAAAATAGACAAACAGGTTAATGGAATAGAATAGAGCCCAGAAACAAACCTACACAGATATAGTCAACTGATCTTTGAGAAAAAGAGCAAAGGCAATAATATGGAGCAAAGAAGGTCTGTTCAACAACGAGTTGTGGAACAATTGGACACCCACATGCAAAAGAAAAAAAGAAATAGACACGAACCTTACATCCTTCATGAAATCTTACTCAAAATGGATTGCAAACCTAAATGTAGAAATGTAAAACTGTAAGACTCCCAGAAGATAAGAGAAAATCTAGATGACCTTGGGTTTGGCAATGAGT